CTCATACAAACACACATTGATACAGACACAGGCACTCATACAGACACACACACACACACACACACACACACACACACACACACACACACACACACACACACATACATCACACGTCATACATATGGTGACACAAGTACACCCGCGCATCAACACACACACACACACACACACACAAACACGAACACACACACATACACACATATATAGAGACCGTAAGCAATGATACAACTTTCCTTGACAATTCATTTTCATTTTCTATATCTTTTATTTTACAACTAAGGCTTCATCTTCTTTGTAATAGATTCAACATATAACTGACAACTGACATTTTATGCTTCTTCATTTTTATTAACTTTCCATATTGGTTTCGTTTAGGATCTCGTGTTTCATTTTATTCCTCGCAAGTATTAATCCTTAACATTTGCACTCGATACCATCTTACGTTACATTTAAATACACTTTAATCAATTCTCTTTCATTTTATCCTTCCCTGACGTCACTAACATATACCTCGGACAAACAAACATTAATAAGAATTGATTTAGTATTGCTAAATACTCTTTGAATCTCGACAAAATATTATCTCTATGTCATTCTGCTTAGTTGGATTACCGATCAATAGGGATGTGGTTAATGCTATATTAGCTATATCTTTATAATCAATTACTAAATATTTCATTAATAAGTAAAAGTTATATGAACTATATCTACATAATTAATTAGCTAATGACTAGGTGACCGCTACGCCTGAAATCACATTTCATAATTAAGTTCAAGTCGCTTCATTAATGATGTAAAATGGGATGATAATTGATAACATAAATATTTCAGCATGAAACACACACACACACACACACACACACACACACACACGAACACACACACACACACACACACGAACACACAAACACACACACATTCTACGAATTAATCAGAACTCTGTAATGACTCTATCATTATCCTCATTATAATTTTTCTATAATTGTTATTATCATTGTTATTACCATTATAATTATTACTATTATTATCATTTTATCATTATCACTGTTATTATCCTTATCATTATTAATACTATTATCATCAGTATTAATGTTATCATTATTAATATTAATATTATCATCCTTATGTTTCTGCTACTGATGATGATTCTAATCATTATTATTATCAATATTATTACTGTTACTGTTACTGTTATCATCATCACCATTATTATTATAGCTATCTTTATTAGCAGTAGTATTATTTTCATCTTTATCTTTTTTTTTTGCCGTATCAGAGCTTGACGTTGACGACCATGTTTAATTTCATGGTTGTACAAAGGACTGTACGAAGGTGGTTTCCCGTTGCCTTCCTTCGGGTGATTGAAGAGTTCACCATCTCCCTTTCCCTCATTCGCTCCATTGACTTTCACTATACACATCCACACATCCATTCATACTATCAGGCAATTGAGTTCCTTGCCGAAGGGAACAATGCGCCGGCCGGGACTCGAACTCCCGAACTCAGATTGTCGTGACTTTTCTGAGTCC